GTTTCTGAAACTTTCTTTTTATAGCACTTTTATAACAGTCAAGATATATTTATAGATGAATACATTGTTCAACAATCATCTTCTTGCAGTGGATAATTATCACAGAGACCCTCAACTGAACTGTAAGTTAAAGTAAACTACCCTGAAGTGTTCAGTCCTAAATTGGATGCCTTTATCACATCCTTCCTCTCAAGATTTAGGGATCTTTGTGGAATATTGAGAGTAAGGACTGTAAAAGCTAGAGGTTTAGGTGATTTTAGGGAAACAACATTTCCAGACACAATGAGAATGATACATATATGAACTTAAAGAGACACTGACAACTTTCATATGACCTGCACAAGTTTGAGACAAAAAAATAAAAAAAAATGTCAGAGGATGTTAGAGAATAAGTAGGAACAATTTTCTAACCCTGTTCAAGAAGCAATTTGCTAAAGATTGCAATTGGGGTCGGTGATATCAGTGTTCTTTGAGTGACATTGCTTACATCAACCAAACTGAAGCACAGGTTTTTTTTGTTCAGGAATAATTGGTCAACACTCATTGGACTCTATGCTTGTAGAGCCTTTTTTAAGTGACAGAACTTGAAGTGGGATAGGTAGGGATGAAGAGAGGATATGGAAGGAGTTGAGGTATAGGAAAAAATATTACAAAATTTATTTGTGAAATTCTTAATGAATAAGTAAGTTATCAAAAGATCAAAACATAGCCAAAATTTCATTTGATGGTTCTTAAAAAATATCATGTGAAAGCAAATAATGATCAAGAGGGGTGGGAAGAGACCTGTACTTTTTCTTTATATTTATTTGCAGTAGTTTAATTTTATTTATCTGATTTCTTTAAATTTATGTTAGTCTTACTTGTTAACTTGAACAAAAAGAAAAAACCTACTACTTTGATAAATTTTAAGCAAGAAACCCCATCATCAAATTATGCATTATACCTAAATATAGTATAATGAAAATAAGACAACATCATAATTTGCTTTAAAACCTTTAGAAAGGTCCTGAAATGTTGTATACTGAATATACATTTCTCAGCAGAAATTTAATTGTGGCTAACCAGAGCAAAAGCAGAATGAGCAGCTGGGATTAACTTCATTCTAAACCATACCTGACTCCTTATGCATAGAAATTATGACAGGGAGGGTTTTAAGACAGCTAAATATGAAGAGAGACACTTATCTCCAGTGTAATCATCTGGTACCTAACAATTGTTTAAGTTATTATAAAACGCAGTCCATAAATCTTGTTTCAAAATTAAAAAGTCCTAAAATCAGTCATAGATACCCAGTCATTGATATTCCAATAGACTATTTCATATGATTATGGTGAGGGAGAAGAGGGTACAGGCTTGGATGCACATTTAGAGTGCAAACTTTCTGCAGTCCAGAAAAAAGTAAATGAAACCACTTGATCTCCAGATGCATAATCATCAGATATTAAGGAAGGCGCATTACTGTAATTCACTGTGCTGTTCATGGTCTTAAAGAATTAAGAGCACATTCATAAAGTACAAATTTGTCTCCAAGGAGCTAGATCAAGAGGCAATTTCCTTGGGTCAAAGTAGAAACACTTTGTCTTTGAGCATGCATCCCTGGCAGATTGAATATAACAGTAGATTTTATCGGAGCAAACTTCTTGTCAAACAATTTATAGAGTCATTAGGATAAATTTGAATTTGGGATTGTTAAGTGCATTGTATTATCATTAAAATATTAATTTTCCTTGAAATCTCTACTTCACTTTCTTACTATTTTCTTCACTTCCATACTTACAGTCTTTGTAATATTCACTTTGTATAATTTTCAATGTTCTGCTATTATCTTTCCTCTTTATAATACACTGTGATTAAATTTACCTTTACATAATAAATTTTATTTATATATCTGTTTATGTTACAAGTATACCACCTCTTTATATATTTGTGGATTTGTATAATTACCTTTTTATTTTTGGTGTTATCATTATATAAAATAATGGCTTTCCATATAACACACACCCACACACATATGTATATGTCACATGCCTTGAGTGGGCTATTCTTGTTATTTGTTTCTTTCTGTTCACAGTCATTGGTTAAAAAATGTTTATTAATAGAGAGTACCTAAATATATGAATACATTGAATATGTTATAGAAATAGCTATATTGTCAACTGAGTATGCAACATGCCAGTGAATCTTGGTCAACAATATTTAGCATTCCAAATAAAATAAAATAAAAGGAACTCATAGCAAAAAGGAACTAGAGAAAACATCTGCTCTTAGATTATTAAAATATTGAAGTTTTCCCAAATAGCAATATGGCTCTTGTGCTGAGTGGAAGTAGTCCCGGAAAACAAGGAAGTATCATGCTCAGATTCCTTAGAGTTGTTGGTTAACTTGATGCTTGCTGTGGAAAACACAAGTATGAGCTGTCACAAGTCCAACCACCCTCCAGAAATCTCAGTTTGATATGTTGAAGTGAGAGGCCCATATACAATTCATTGTAGCTATCTGAACATTTCATTTATAATGTGTTTAATACCTCTTTTTTAAATTTAAATGTAGAAAATTTTGCTTATATATTCAAAGAATATATACCCACACAGAATATCACATGCTTTTGAAATTTGATAAACACTCTTCTGCTTTATCTTTGTTCTCTAAGCGTCTATATTTATAAGATAAATTATTGATAGATAGAAAGATAGATAGATAGATAGATGACAGATAAATAGATAGATAGATAGATAGATAGATAGATAGATAGATAGATAGATAGATAGATAG